CTGGATGGGACTAGACATACGCTCGCATAGGGCGTGACGTGGACGATCCGAGGCCTAGGCCTTGAGTACGCTGGGCGTACGCGTGCGTGGCTCAGCCTTTGGATAATACCGAAATTTCTATTAAAATTTATATTTTTAATATTTAATAAACTTCAAAAATTCATATCTTCTTCATACAAACTCCGTTTTTGACGTTCTTTATATCCACGCGTAGGTGGGACTATACTCTACAACTTTCGTTTAGTTTCCATCGGCAAATTTTGAAATTATTTTTATTATTTATTTTTAAAAGGTCGTGGTAAGAAAATTTCATTAGAAATTCATAACTTCATTATCTGACGTCTGTTTTTGCCAGACTTTTTACCGTTGAAAAACCATTGTCGAGACCTTCGATTCTCATTTAGGTCATTCCGGTCAAAAGTCGCTCGATCTCTGATTCGAGTTTTTAGTTTTCCGTTGCTAAGCCGAACTTGGAAAATTCACAACTTTCTTATACGAAGTTAGATTTGGGCGTTCTTTTTACGTACGATCACAGTTTAATGATATTTAACATAATAGATAATTTAATTAGTGATTTTTGGATATTTTATTTTTGAAGTAAATTTCATTATAATGAACGTGGTTACAATACTTGACTTTTTAGGTCGTTTACATAGAGTTGAAATATCAGGTTGTCACATCATCCCCCTGTTAGAGGGAATTTCATCCCAAAATTTAAAGTAAGAAAGATACAAGTGAATCAGATAAAAAGATGTGGGTACTTTTGTTTCATCTGATCTTCGCGTTCCCATGTGAATTCAGGTCCTCGCTTGGCGTTCCAACGGACTTTCACGATGGGTATGCGACTTCGTTTCGTTTGTTTGAACTCTCGGTCCATGATTTCTATCGGTTCTTCCACGAAGTTGAGTCTCTTGTTGATCTCGATCTCTTCGAGTGGATAACAAGAGTCTCATCGGACAGACACTTTTCAAGTTCGATACGTGGAAGGTTGGGTGTATGTTACTAAGTTCACGTGGTAGATTAAGTTTGTAAGCTACAGGGCCGATTCTGGCGAGAATCTCGAAAGGCCCTATGTATCTTGGATTTAGCTTTCCACGCTTTCCAAAGCGTATTAAGCCTTTCCACGGCGAGACTTTCAATAGAACGCGGTCTCCTACTTGGAGTTCCAAAGGTTTCCTCCGTTGGTCAGCATAGCTTTTCTGTCGGTCTCTAGATGCTTTCAACCGTTCACGAATCTGAACGATCTTCTCTGTCGTTTCTCGTATGATTTCCGGACCGGTGAAAGTGTTTTCAGTATCTCATCCTTTAGCTAACTGTGTGTCGCCAACTTCAGTCCTACACAGAGGGAACCTGCACTTACGGTCATAGAGGGCTTCAAATGGAGCAACCTTTATGCTCGTATGATAACTATTGTTGTATGAAAATTCGACAAGGGGTAAATGGATATCCCATGCCTTTCCAAAGTCAATCACACAGGCTCTCAGCATATCTTCCAAAGTTTGTATCGTTCTCTCACTTTGCCCGTCTGTTTGTGGATGGTAGGTTGTACTTATGTCTAGTCTAGTTCCCAGGGAACTTTGTAGTGACTGCCATAACCTTGATGTAAATCTACTATCTCTATCGGAGATAATGGACATCGGAACTCCATGCAATCACACTATTTCCCTTATGTAAGTTCTTGTAAGCCTTTCCATCTTGTCGGTTTCCTTGATTGGTAGAAAATGCACAGATTTGGTCAATCTGTCGACGATGACCCATATGGTATCAAGTCCACCCGTTGTCTTGGGCAACTTGGTTATGAAATCCATAGTAATCCATTCCCATTTCCATTCCGGTATCTCTGGCTGTTGTAGTAATCCTGAAGGTTTCTGGTACTCGACCTTAACCTTAGTGCAAGTAAGACATTTACTTACGAAGGTAGTAATTTCTGCTTTCATGTTAGGCCACCAGTACAGTTTCTTAAGATCCAGATACATTTTATCTGAACCTGGGTGAACGGAATACCTCGTGTTGTGTGCTTCGGTCATGACCACGTCTCTGAAACCACCATGTCTCGGTGTCCATATAAGGTCCATGAGATAATAGGCTCCGCCACCCTTGATTTCTAGATTCTTTTCCATTCCTCTCAGGGATTCACCCGTCACATGTTCGGGTTGTAAAGCTTCCAGTTGAGCCTCCTTAATTTTTGTGGATAAGTGGGAATGGATAGTCATATTCAGAGATTTGACTCTCCGATCAGTGTATTCTTTTCAACTGAGGGTGTCAGCTACTACATTGGCCTTGCCAGGATGATAACGAATTTCACATTCGTAATCATTGAGTAACTCGACCCATCGTCGTTGTCGCATGTTGAGCTCCTTCTGATCGAAAATGTGTTGAAGGCTCTTGTGGTCGGTGTAAATAGTACTCTTCGTTCCGTACAGGTAGTGTCTCTAGATCTTCAGAGCAAATACCACTGCTCCTAACTCAAGATCGTGTGTTGTATAGTTTACTTCGTGTATCTTAAGTTGATGGGAGGCATAGGCAATAACCTTCCCTCGTTGCATAAGAACACAACCAAGTCCTTGATTTGATGCATCGTAATACACTACAAAATCTTCTATCCCTTCGGGGAGGGATAGTATCGGTGCGGTGCACAAGGCTTGTTTCAGTGTTTGGAACGCCTTCTCTTGTTTTGCTTCCCAGTCAAAGACCATGCCTTTCTGGGTTAATGTAGTAAGAGGTTTCACAATGCTAGAGAAGTTCTTTATGAATCTGCGATAGTAGCCAGCTAGACCTAGAAATTGACGAATTTCTGTAGGTGTATTTGGTGCCGACCAATTCTTAATGACCTTAATTTTGGAGAGGTCCACATGTATCCCTTTTTCGCTAACAACATGGCCGAAAAATTCGACTCTTCAAATCCAAAATTCACATTTAGAGAACTTCGCATAGAGCTTCTCCGATCGTAGTGTTTCTAAGACTCTTCGTAGGTGCTGACTATGTTCTTCCTTACTTCGGGAGTAGATAAGTATATCATCGATGAAGACGATGATGAACTGATCCAAGTAAGGACGACACACTTTATTCATTAGGTCCATGAATACCGCTGGTGCGTTGGTTAATCCGAACGACATCACTACAAATTCGTAGTATCCATAACGGGTTCGGAAGGCTGTCTTGGGAACATCTTCCTCTAGCACTCGTAATTGGTGATATCCGGATCGTAGATCTATCTTCGAGAAGTAGCTCGCTCCTTTAAGTTGATCAAATAGATCGTCAATGCGGGGCAGAGGGTAACGATTTTTGACAGTAAGTTTGTTAAGCTCTCGGTAGTCGATGCACATACGGAACGATCCGTCTTTCTTCTTTACAAAACAAGATCGGTGCTCCCCAAGGTGAGAAACTTGGTCTAATGAATCCTTTTTGGTGGAGTTTGTTAAGCCGACTGGAAAGTTCTTGCATCTCTGCTGGTGCCAGACGATAAGGTGATTTTGCTACTGGGGTAGCCCATGGAACTAAATTGATTCTGAACTCGACTTGGCGTTGTGGTGGTAATCCCGGTAGTTCTTCTGGAAAGATATCGGGGAAGTCACGTACTTTTGGAATCCTGTTAATATCCTTTACTTCCCGACTCGTATCGATGATGTGTGCAAGAAATGCCTGCTAATCCTTCCGTAAACACTTTCGAGCTTGGATGCACGAAATGATGCGAAGGTTTGTACTTGATTTGTCGCCGTAAATCACTAATGTTTGATCGTTAGGGAGATTTAGACGAACAATTTTTTCAAAACACATGATGTTGGCGCAAAGAAGACTTAACCAATCCATGCCAACTATGACGTCGAAACTTCTAATTTGGACTGGTATGAGGTTGATTGGGAAAGAGTGACCGTCTAAAGTTAATGTACAACCCATGTATATGCACTTAGTGTTTTCCGTTTTTCCATTTGCCATTTCTACAGTGAATGATTCTTCTAACATGCTAAGTTTATGTTTAAGTAAGTGAATAAAGTTTTGGCTCACGAAGCTTCTCTCTGCTCCACTATCGGATATATGCTTTACACTACCGTGCATGCAGGTTTGCCGCCAAGATACAAAGACTTTGTTCGGATAATTACACCCAAGTTACCTCAAATTTTGTACAATTGTACCACTCAACAGCTAGATACTATTTTTTTTTTCTCTTTCATGATTTATAGTGGTTTTCATCTCATGCATTCAAAGTTTGTATGGAAATGCATTTTTTTACGCACAATAACAACATACTTAAATTTAAATTTGTAATGCTTTTGTAATCCGGTGGTTTTATTGTATTACAGCGTCATGGTGAGCCGTTCTAATGGATTTTTTGAGCAACATGTATTGCAATAGTATATTTTCCATTTTGCTTACAACAAACTCAACGTCTAAAATAGCAATAGGCTTAAATTGTGTTGCTATTTTTTGAGCATTTACCTTACAAGCAAACTTTTAATTTACTTTTAATTGGGACAGTTAATAGAAGATTTGAGAAAACAAACAAACAAACAAAATAACATAAAAAACGTGCATATTTATGGATTAAAAAAACCTAGATAGGGATTATTCATCCATTCATTACATTCCAACAGGGGAGATCGAGGGGTATACATATTATTTCATTTGATCGTTCATACTTTAAGATTTAAAAAAAATGTTCTATTTTCGAACCACCAGCTTAAGCTGAGCCACCATCACTTTGCATGATCAAATGTTTGATTGGGTTCACTCCATAATAATAAAAAAAGAACAAAAATTAAAAATAAATAAAACTGTCGCGTGCAAAACACGGAAAAACGAGTCAAATGGTGTGGAGATAGATCTTATTTGAACAACTCTAATTTGGCCTTTGTCGGTTTCCTATTTGTTATCAACTAGGTTTTTTTACTACTTTTTACTTGATAAGGACTCTTTTATTTTCATACAAGTAGCCTATAAATGGCATTGGTCCCTTTATTTTTCAATTACCCTAAATAATTAGATACAAATCGTTGGCTCCAATGGACAACATCGACTGTGGAATGAATAAAATTCTCCGAAGGATTGACTCGATGACCAACATCCTGAAAGGTCTGGACACTCGTATACAAAGTATGGAGACGGAGTTGCTGAAGATTCGACTAAATCAAGATGAAGATTCGAGTGAGTTTTCCTATTCGGATGAGGAGGGATGCGAAGGGGATTTTAACCTCGTAACGCCAGAAGAGGAAGACTCCAGCTGTAAGTTAGATCCACCCCCTTTCATGGAGAATTATAATCTTGGTCAATTTCGTCGGTGGATAGAACATGTAGAAAGGTGTTTTGAGTTTAGTAGAACCCCAGATGATGAAGAAGTAGAATTTGTAGTCTCCTGCAGTTTTAAAGATGGGGTTTTATCATGGTGGGAACAAATCCAAAAGCTAAGTATGCGAATTGATAAAAAACCGATTCAAGATTGGACAACGATGAAGAAGTTGCTGATGGCTCGATTTTTTTGTCCAGATTCTTTTGTAACCAAAGTGGACCACTAATCATTAATTCTACTTTTGATAATTTGATTCGGAGTTTTAATCTTGTTCATGAAACGTTTGTTTGTTTTTTTATTTTATCATTATGTTAAGAAAGCTTTTAGTCAAATATTTGTTATCGTGAACACTCTTTTTTTGTTAAGTTCCAGAAAGGAAAAAAAATTATGACCATCATTAATTGATGCCGATAACACCCTGCAACCGAACAAACAATCAACACTACTAGAAAACTGAAAAATATAGTACGGTTATATTTGCATATATAATATCGATGGTCATTACGTATTGTATCAGGGGTGTATTAGATTAGATGTATAATACGGCTTTGTACATAATAGAGTACAGTTAAACCGTACTCTATCTCACACATCTAATATTCTATATCACACATCTAATACAGCTTTGTGTATGCTTTAACCGTATTATATCCAAAGACATCCCACAACACTGTGTACTCTATAACCATTCATAATTACCAAAGTAATACGATATAGATACTAGTAACACGTCCTTATTACCCATTAAGGTGCTCCGAAACCAAGGCTCTCCTCAAATCCATGTGAATATTCAGATGTTCTTCTTATAGCTGTTACAAAAATAATCATCCAATTATACTTCAGAAATTAAACAAGAAGCAAACAACCAAAAGTTTTTTGTTTGTTTTTTTTTTTTTTTTTTTAGTTTATCAGTTTCCAATTGATGCCGACTACACCTACAATTTCTAGACTAATCATGATGTTCAACATGGTACAACACCATCGTTTAAAAATGTTTTATCCATAATAATTATTGTTGTTCTACTTATCTTTCACTTCATATTTGCATAACATAATAAATTATTATAAGTATGTAATCGAATTTTACATACAAAGACCATCATGCAATCAAATAATTATATACCTGGACTTACGAAATGATAAGAATACAGTGCTAATGTGTAATGTCAGTGCAGGAGCTTGAAAATGAAAATAACAAGTCTAACAAGTACATATCTCATTACCAACTCAGATATCAATGAAGAAAAGTCAAAATTGGGTAGGGAGCAGTAAATAGCTTAACAAATGAAATCAAAACGATAATTTCAACTTTTCTAATTAAGAAATTGTACTTCAAAAAAACTACAAATCCCTTCAAATTTAGAATTTATACTTCATATTTCTTTCCAACTATAATAATCACATTATTACAAAAGGTAGATTTTCGAAGTACGATGCTTTAATAAAACGAAAATGAAAATAGTCATGTACTTTTGCTACTTACCTTTAGTTCAGCTAAACATCGGGAAGAGATCCAAAGTCCCCAAGAACCTCATCGCTCAGCATGGGTCCATTATGGTTCCCACCCCCATAATGCCTATGGGTGAAGCAAATTGAATTTATTCCATTCTACTGCTCTTCATAGAAAAAAGTACAGCCATATGCAATTTCCAGTTAAAAAACGATGAAAAATAAGAAAAAAATTATTATAAGAACCATAAAGAGATAATAGTTCCAAAATGAAATCATGACAAACGGAAACAACCGTCAAAACTCACATGATATAGATATAGTCAACATACCCGTAACAACAAATGTCTTATAGAGTGGAATTTATCATGTGTTAAGTTACTAGATAAGAAGAATAAAGAAAAGAAAATGATATTGTCATAAAGATATGTTCCTAATTACAAATACAGTAATGAAGCAACATTGTACTATTTGCTGCAAATTCAAATGCCATTAATTTCTTAGCCTTTTTATATCAACATTTGGCTTGGTTTTTTTTTTTTTTTTTTTTTTTTTTTCAAATCTACCATTGCTAGTTCATACTAAACACCATAAAGATTGCATTAAATAATGTGATAAAATCAGTCTAAACTTGAAATATTTTCAGTTTTTCTTCATCGGAAAATCGTCAAGGTACAAAGCTTAAGCTAGGTTTAGCTAACAAGAACAAACATGGGTTATGCTTTAACTGTTAAGTGAAAGCAGGAGAAATTGTTGATCAAAAAGTTACCTTGGGTGTCGAGAATTATTTAAAGATAATGTTTAGTGAGCCATGGCGTATTTATGCCCAAGCTTGATTCTCATGCTTCAACCATCTACACAAAAGGGAAATGAAACCTATGAAACTCTATAAAGACAAGATCTTTAATTGGTTTGTGTACAAAATGTTAATGTTAAGAACTTCTAAATATAATGTCAAACAAGTGGCCTTTAATTAATAGTTGATGATAATTTAACTTTTTTATGCAACACATCACACATCATGTAATAATACCTAGTGAGACCAGAGAAGTCATATCTCATATAATAACAACCCAATTCATCCAAGCTTCTTTTAATCCAATATTGTAATAAAAAGAATTATGAGAGTTTACAAGTAAGGTTAACATGATAGAGGTTATTGCTACTGATATTTAGAAAAATCAATAGATTAAAGGAAAAACTTGTTAACTATGTAAACTAATCAATAAACATCTCGTTGGGGAATTTCATGAAAAACCTGGTGCTCATATAAAAGAAAAGGTAGTACTGAATGCACTACCTTTTAATCACAACCACGGAAACCATAATTCCATCATAAAATCAATTAACAACCGTAGTTGACTTAAGGTTCTTAACATCTCAATTCATGGAAAAAATAGATAGGTGAAACAAAAATTGCAAAAGATAATTTTCAGATCGATGAGATTGTATTGCAAGTGTTGAACGTTCCAAAATGTATTGATTTCTAGCTACAAGTAGAAGAAAAAAGAAATGGATTACACACCACATTTTTACTAGATTCACTAAAAGTGAATCGATCAATATAACTGACACTGAGATAAGTTGCGAACAAATCCACATTTTCAGAAAATGTGGATTACAACAAGAAGATTTACGAATCAAAAACAGTAAACGAACTTGAAGCAGGAAGGTATACTGGAATTGAGTTGGATCTTTCGAAATACAGTAACCTTCAATGATTCACTGTAAAAAAGGCCAAAAAGTTGTGGAAAACGAGAACAAATTCATCATCGAATAGAGACGGAGACATGACGGATTTGTGTTCTTTGAAACTCGGTAATGAATTAGATTAAAGAAGAAATTGATTAGAATTTTCAAAGACAATGAAGAAACTCATTTTTTTAGTAGTGTTAATTTTTTCAGAAAAATTCGTTTTATATTGTGGTTTTATATCGGAAAAAAAATTAAGCTACCATAAAAAATTTCAGGTTATTTCTAAATGGATCAAAAGACAAACTAGCCCAAATGGTCTAAAAATTTTAAGCACACACCAATTAATTTATTGAAACAAAGAGGTATTAAGATTTAAGCCCAATAGTCCAATGAAAATAATTACGTAATCTCGATTATCCGATATTCCGATCGTCACTTCATGCGTGCGTGTCTTCTCAATTTCCGACTTCAGCAATCATTTTTTGCCTTGCTGCGATCGTGGAGACGTGAACAAGCATTCTCAATTCTCAAATCACAATTGTAAAATTTCAAGCACATCCTCCGCTCCTCGGATATTCCATCACAATGAAACAAGTTAGTATAACCAAAATACTCACCCATATTATTTTTTTAGGTTAATTAAAATTCAAAATTTTTGTTATTATTTTCAAAATTAGAAATTAACAATAACTTTGTGAAATTAGGGACTTAGGTGTTGTTTGTTTCACAGAATGTTGTTGAAGGAATTTGAATTGGAATTGGAAAAGGAATCTGTGAGGAATTTGAATCCAATTCCATATGTTGTTTGGTTGGCAGGAAGTGGAATTGGAATTCATTCCAATATCTGTTTAGTTCGGAGGAAATGGAATTTGAATTCTTGTAAAATGATATAATTACCCTTTTTTCCTGTTTTGCTTAATTTTACCTTGCTTTCTAACTTATATATAAAAATACATCATGAAAATTATAAAAACAGTAAAATTTTGGCGGTGGTGGCAGTAGTTGTAGGAGCAGTGGTGGTGGTGGCGACGATAATGGTAGGTAGCGGTGATGGTGGATGTGACGGTAGTGGTGATGGTGGCAGTGGCATTGATTGTGTTGGCGGAAGTGGTAGTGATGGTGGTAGTTGCAGCTAGTGGCGATAGCAATGACGGTGATGGTGGTGGTGGTGGTAGTGGTAGTGCTGGTAGTGGTAGTGGTGGTAGTGGCGGTGTTGGTTAGTGATGGCATTGGTAGTGGTGGTGGTAGCGTAAATGGTGGCGGTGGTGGTGGTAGTAGTAGTCGGTGGCACAGCTACGGTGGTAACGATGATGATGGTAGTGGTGGTGGTGTCGCACGCAGTGGCGGTGGGTGGCAGCGGTAGAGGTGATGATGGATGGTGGTGGCGGCGACGGTGGTGATGGGTGGTGATTATGGCGGTGGCAGTAGCCACGGTGGTGGCAACGATGGCGGTGGTAATGGTTGTGGCGGTAGCAGTGGTGGTGGTGGTGGTGGTGGTTGGTGGAGCGGCAGCAGTGGTGGTGGTAATAGTGGTTGTGGGTTTTCCATCCAACTTTGGAAGGAATTCATTTTCTTCCATATGGTGGAAAGTGTATTTCATTTAGGGTTAATACTTAATGCTTATTTGTTGTTGAAACTTGAAATCAAGTTATAGTTGATATATTTTTATTGTAGATTTCTATTTGTTCGTTTGTTGTTGAAACTTGGAATTGGGATTATAGTTGATATATCTTGATAATTGATAATTTGACTGTAGGTTACTAGGTTGTTATTTATTGATTGTTGTTGAAACTTGAAATGAAGTTTATAGTTCATATTTTTTATTGTAGGTTGCTATTAAAGTTTTTTCAAAAGACATTTAGATGTTGGAGACAACAACGGTGAAGGAACTTCCAAAAAAAATAGGGCTAATGAAAATAATCAAGTTCAACAAACTAATCAACCAATACCAAAACCACAAGAAACAAAATCTAATGAACCTACTCAACTTCCACAAACTAATCAACCAATGCCCAAACCAAAAGCGACACAATCTTTTGCTTTGAATGATCTTCCTTCGGACCCGGGGGATAGGCCAAAGAT